AAACCTGCACATCCTGCACATGGACCCTGGAACTGAAAATAAAAGTTGAAAGAAAAAAAACGTATTGTCATGCCCTCAGGAGGAGTCATGTCCGGGTCAAAGCATCAAATACTCTACTAAAGGCAACATTACCTAGGAGGGATAATGAGCCGTTTTCAACCCCCTGAAAACGCTTGGCTGGTAACAAACCCCGCAAATGAGCCAGCCGCTCTGCTGGGCTGAGAAGCCTGGATTGGGTTATCCGTTTCAACTCAGCACCATCCCATCACCTCCACGTTCTCCCCCGTTTCCCAGGTCCCCTCCCGCTGTGGTTCCAGGCTCGTCCGCCTCTGGCAGTTCCCAGACATTCCCTGGGAATGGCTCACTGGGCACTGCGGGCTGCCAGGGGCATCTTCGGGGCTTCCTCGTCATCTCTGCACTTCCGGGTTTCCTAACACTGACCTTCACTGCTCCTTTCCAATGTCTAGGTGAGCCTCTCATTTCCTGGATTAAGTCCATTTCTCTCGCTCGCGCTCTCTGTCTCTCTTTCCTCTGAATACTGAGTGTGGCTCCTGTTCTCCTGCCCAAACCTGTGTGGATAGGAGCAGTAATAAAGTGAGAGGGAAGGGGGCTCAGGGGCTCCTGGGGAAAGATGCTAAACAACATTGGTTGCCTGTGTGGGTACACACCCTAAGGTGTCAGGAAAGGGATGCGGACAGAGAGGCACGGTGGCAGCCTCTGCACACCAAATGTCTGTGTCCCCTCCAAATTCATGTGCTGAAACCCTCACCCCCCAAGGTGATAGTGTTGGGAGGTGAGGCATTTGGGAGATGACTGATTAGGCCATGAGCGGGGACCTCTCATAATGGGATTAGTGCCCTGATAAGAGACCCAAGAGAGCTTGTTCTCTCTCTCTCTCTCTCTCTCTTTCCTGCCTCTTTCTCTCTCTCTCTCCCCCCACCTCTCTCTCTCTCTCTCCCCCTCCCTCCCCGCCTCTCTCTCTCCCCCTCCCTCCCCACCTCTCTCTCTCTCCCCCCTCCCTCCCCGCCTCTCTCTCTCCCCATTGCCTCATCGCCTCTCTCTCTCTCCCTCCCCGCTTCTTTCTCTCTCTCCCTCTCTCCCTCCCCGCCTCTCTCTCTCTCCCTCCCCACCTCTTTCTCTCTCTCTCTCCCTTCCCGCCTCTCTCTCTCTCTCCCTCCCCGCCTCTCTCTCTCTCTCTCTCCCTCCCCACCTCTTTCTCTCTCCCCCTTCCCGCCTCTCTTTCTCTCTCCCTCCCTCCCTACTTCTCTCTTTCTCTCTCTCTCCCTCCCCAGCTCTCTTTCTCTCTCTCTCTCCCTCTCTCTCTCTCTCCCTCCCCACCTCTCTCTTTCTCTCTCCCTCTCCCTCCCCGCCTCTCTCTCTCTTTCTCTCTCTCTCTCTCTCTCTCTCTCTCCCTCTCTCTCGGATACAACAAGTGGCCGTCTGCAAGCCCTCACCAGACACCAAGCCTGCCAGCACCTTGATCTTGGGTCTCCAGCCTCCAGGACTGTGCAAAATAAATGTCTGCTGTTTAAGCCCCCAGGATATGGTCATTTGTCACAGCACTTCCAACTAAGATGATCAGAACCCACCTTTTGTAGTACAGCAGTTTCTGATGGTCATGAGGCCAAGTGGCCAAAGACTACCTTTCCCAATATTCCTCACAGCTATTTGCTACCATGTGACTAGATTCTGGTCCCAACACAGGTAAGCAGGGTGATGTGAGCAGCACTAGGCCGTGTCCCTGAAGTGAAAGGCATAAGCTCTCCCTTTCTTCTTCCCACTTGCCACCTGCTGGAGTGTGGAAATGATGGCTGGAGCCAGAGCAGCCATGCTGGACTCAAAGACAGAAGCCACCCGTTGAGCACAGCAGGCAGCAAGAGAAAGGACACTGGCTCCTTGCCACTGTGGAGCTGTGTTTGGACTGTTACATTCATGAGAAATAAACTTCTATGTCGTTTTGACCACTATGAAACTCCTTCTCAGTTACAGCAGCTGGAATGCGTATTTTAACCCATGCAGAGATGCCTCATCCACTCTGGATGGCTTAGGGCTTAGATGTTCTTTGCAGAGACATGAACTCCAGTCAATCTAAAAATAGATTTTTTAAACTCTACTGTCCTTTGGTAGTGCTGCTGCAAATTTCTGTTTCCGAAGGAAAAATAGTGCATGTCATCTATAACTAGTGAAAATGTCTATGATATGAGTGTATATTAGTGAAGGTAATGCCAAGTGTTCTAATAAAAGAAACCCAAGAATATACCATGGCCCAGCACAACAATGCTTTGTGTTTTGCTGGAATAAAGTCCAACTGGGTGTTCCTGATCAGTCGGTGGCTCTCCTTCAGGCTGTGGCTCAGGGTAAGCCCATTTCCCGGACAACAGGGCCGCTTCCTGGGTCATTGGCATCCAGTCACTTCCCAGTTGGGGAAGGGAGAGAAGGAAATACCTCACAGGTGAGACCTGGAAGGGGCACACATCACTTCCACCCACGTTTCCCATCCGTAACTCAGTCACATGGCCCTACTAGACATAATAGAGGCTGGAAATGTGATCCCTGCCTGAAAAGCCAATTCCAAATTACATCCCTACAGCTCGGATGGAGAGCATAGATCTCTGGTGGATCAACAGCTGTGTGTCGTGACCGCAGAGGGCGCTACAGCAGATCCAGCAATTTATGCTCAAAAATATCTATGTAAAACTAAAAGTACGTTCACTCATGCGGGCGTCAAACACCATCCACGCTCTGCTGTTTACCCGAAGGAGACAAAGGCAACGACCTGCCCCGACGCAGCTCCACGCAGCTGAAGTAAGAACTTGTCTCTTCGGCAGCTGACTCACCTGCCGGAATCTGTTGCTGTTCCCCTCTGGGGAAGGAAGGGAGTGGCTGCTCCTTCTTCACGGAATGCCGCAAAAGCTTCATGTGGGCCGGGCGCGGTGGCTCAAGCCTGTAATCCCAGCACTTTGGGAGGCCGAGACGGGCGGATCACAAGGTCAGGAGAGCGAGACCATCCTGGCTAACACGGCGAAACCCCGTCTCTACTAAAAACACAAAAAATTAGCCGGGCGAGGTGGCGGCGCCTGTGGTCCCAGCTACTCGGGAGACTGAGGCAGGAGAATGGCGTGAACCCAGGAGGCGGAGCTTGCAGTGAGCTGAGATCCGGCCACTGCACTCCAGCCTGGGTGACAGAGCGAGACTCCATCTCAAAAAAAAAAAAAAAAAGCTTCATGTGAGGAGGGAGAAATCAGACTGTGGTCACTACAGGTATTTTCAAGCCAGAAGGGGTTGTCCAGTTCACATAATCTCTTCATTTGCATCCTACTTCTGTCTTCTCCGGAAGCAAATATTTTTTGTGAAAAATCAGACCTTGGCGATGACCTTGAGCAGTCGGACATAAATTACTCCCACAAGCTTAGCATTCCAATAATGGAACACTAGGCATAAATGGGTTAAACTTAGTTTACAAATGTAACCCAGATATAAGCTGGGACCCCATGTGGTCCAGTCTCAGTGAGAAATTAAATTCAAAGAAGTAGAACAGGCTGGGTCGATGGCTCATGCCTGTGATCCCAGCACTTTGGGAGGCCGAGGTGGGTGGATCACAAGGTCAGGAAATCGAGGCTATCCTGGCTAACACGGTGAAACCCCATCTCTACTAAAAATACAAAAAATTAGCCAGGCGTGGTGGTGAGCACCTGTAGTCCCAGCTACTCGGGAGGCCAAGGCAGGAGGATGGCGTGAACCCGGGAGGTGGAGCTTGCAGTGAGCCGAGATAGCGCCACTGCACTCCAGCCTGAGCAATGGAGCGAGACTCCATCTCAAAAAAAAAAAAAAAAAAAAAAAAGTAGAATACAGCATCAAAGGTAGCACTAAGCTGTCCTTGAATCTCTTCAGGAAAATGATCATGACTCTAACTTTTTTTTTTTTTGAGACAGAGTCTCACTCCATGGCCCAGGCAGGAGTGCACTGGCATGATCTCAGCTCACTGCAGCCTTGACCTCCTGGGCTCAAGCAATCCTCCTGGGCTCAAGCAATCCTCCCCGCTCAGCCCCTTGAGTAGCTGGGACTACAGGCATGTGCCACCATGCCCTGCTTTTTTTGGTTTTGTTTTTGTTTTTTGTTTTTTTTTTTGGTAGAGATAAGGTCTTGCTATGTTGCCCAGGCTAGTCTCAAACTCCTGGCCTAAAGCAATCCTCCTGCCTCAGCATGGATCTAATTTATAGCCCACAGCCATACTTCTTTTCTCCCTTCCCTAATTCTGTTCCTCCTATATCTGTCTCAGAGCCTCTCACAGGGCAAATTCCAGAAATCCTCTCTAACACCCCCATCCCAGTCACCTTTTGCATCTCCCCCTGCTACTTCTTTGTTCATATTTCTTATAGAGATGGATTTAGCCTCTCAGATACTTTTGTAAATGGACTTTATATATGTTTAGAACAGTTTTAGGCTCACAGCAAAATCCAACAGAAGGTAGAGTCCCATGTACTCTCTGTCCCCCCCGCCACACACACACAGCCTCCCCAACTATTAATACCCCCCACCAAATAGTACATTTATTATAACTGATGAACCTACATTGACATGTCATTATCACTGTATTAGTCCATTTTCATGCTGCTGATAAAGACATATCTGAGACTGGGCAATTTACAGAAGAGGTTTATTGGACTTACAGTTCCACGTCCCTGGGGAGGCCTCACAATCATGGTGGCAGACAAGAGAAGAGAGCGTGTGCAGGGAAACTCCTCTTTAGAAAACCATCAGATCTCATAAGATTTATTCACTATCAGGAGAACAGCACAGGAAAGACCTGCCACATGATTCAATCACCTTCCACTGGGTCCCTCCCACAACACATGGAAATTCAAGATGAGATTTGGGTGGGGACACGGTCAAACCATATCAATCACCCTAAGTCCATAGTCCACATTACAGCTCACTGTTGGTGTTGTACAGCCTATGAGTTTAGACAAATGTTTAATGGCATAGACCCACTGTGACAGAATGATACGGAGGAATTTCACTGCCCCAAAAAGTCCTGTGCTCCACCTATTCATCGCTCCCTCTCCCCAACCCATGGTGTTACCGGAAAAGGGGTCTTGATCCAGACCCCAAGAGAGGGTTTCTGATCTCACACAGGAAGCAATTCAAGGTGAATCACAAGGTGCAGCGAAGGAAGCACGTTTATTAAAAGCTACTCTTACAGAGCAGGGGACCTTCTGAGAGAATGCACCGTCTTTAAGTTTTTCTTATATAGGGGTCTTGTCTATGTAATGACTAAACCAAGCCGTGACTCTGTGAGGAGGAGCAGATGGCATGACAAAATTGATTACACTATTGATTTATAGAAAACTATCCTTAACAGTCTAGTACATGAGTACATCAAAGCGTATCTATAATTATCTTGAAAGCACATATTGTTATGGGTATTGGGACATCTGGGCTTTCTGTTGTTTTAGGAGTTTGTCCTTGCAGGCAGTACCAAGCTGCCTCCTTAGCTGTGACCATCTTAGGACCATGGGTTGTGACTGGTAAGGAAGGTGCCTTGTTAGTCTCAAGACAGAGAAGATTTTTCAGTGGTGTCACTCTGACTCTCTTCAGCTCCTGCTTCCCTAATGATGGCACCTCCTCTTTTTCCTGTCCCCATAATGTTTCCTCTTTGGGAATGTCACAGAGTTGGAGTCAGAGGGTGTGTAGCCTCCCCAGACTGACCGCTTTCACTTTGTGATCTGCATTTCTGGTTCCTTTATGTCTTTTCATGGATGGGAAGCTCACTCATTTTTAGCACTGAATAGTATTCCGTGGTCTGTGTCGACATGCCACAGTTCATTTCTCCAATCACCTGCCAGAGGACATCTCGGCTGCTTCCAAGTCGTGGTGATTGTAAATGATGCTGCTATCATCATCCAATGCATTTGCAGTCTTCTCCACTTCAGCCATTCTGCAGATTCCACTTCACGCTGACATCACAAAGACGGGACCCCTGAGGGATGGATGAGAGAAGACCAAGGCAGAATCCCCCCCAGAAAGCAGGTGGGGGAAGGCTGGGGACCTTCCTGGGGGTACAAATCTTTTCCTGTCACCAGAGGATGCACACAGCTCATGGAGACCACGTCAACCACCGGCCTAAGGAAAGCAGCGGGAAAGCTGTGAGATAGAGCCAGAGATGGATCTGTGCTCAATCTGTGTGTGGCGGACTCCTAAGTACTTGCTAGGGAGGGTCCTCGAAAGCAGCTCCTGGTCCTGGAAATTAGTGTACATGCGGTGGACACCACGGAGCAAAGCGCTGCTCAGAGAAAGCACACATCCTGGTTGCTATGGCTTCCATGCACGGGGCCCTCACTATGGACCAGACACTCCTAAGGGCCATGCACCCCGTACGATACCTCATCCCCCATCTACCTTTCCTTTACCAAAAGTGTGAAGCGGCTTAAGCAGCTTGTCTGAGTTTGCACAGCTGGCAAATGGCTGAGCCATGACTCACACCCAGGTCCATCCACGGCCAAAGCTCGAGATCTCTGGCATCCTTCTAAGGTCGGAAAGGGAAGGAAATCCCTAATAAGGAGCCTGTGTGACGGCGTGCCCCCTCTCCACTTTCCCACCCCTGCCAAGGACCCGTTTGAAGACTGTTCACGCCGGTCACTGCAATCACCGTTGCGCACAGAGATGGCAGTTCCAGCCAACACTGACCTTCTAGCCCACTCTGCCGAGGAGAAGACAGGGGCCGAGAGGATGCTGATTTCCTGCGGTTGATTCTGGCTCTAATTTCCCGGTGCTGACTCAAACTCATCAGGAACATTGCTTTCACTGAGTGTATGAAGTGGTTTCTCCATCCGTGTGACTTTACCCAGGTGTGGGGCCGAGCACTCCCCCCTGCCTCCTCCCTGGATTGCAGGAGCTGTGTCTCACTTTACAAAAGAGATGCCCTTTGGGGAAGACTCGCATTGTCAGGAGCGCTGTGGATGCTCCGGGCGGAGATCAACACGATGATGATGATGGCCGAGATCAACACGATGATGATGATGATGATGATGATGATGATGATGATGATGATGATGGAGGGAATGTGTGCTTTTCAGGAGGTTAATCACACCCTGAGCAACGCCTATGGATTTTTGCTTTTCCTTGGCTGGTAGGAGCTGGGGAGGCTGCCTTCGCTGTGATATTTCTGCCAGTTCTCATCCCCAGTGGGAAGAGGAATTGCCTGTGTTTGCTGAAATTAAAGCCAAAACCCAGCCGGTGCAGATGGGAGGGGGAGGCTGGGAGCAGGTGGGAGCTGGTGTGCGGGAGTGGACCCAGGCCCTGGGGCAGAGAAGGAGGGGAGAAGCGGGGCCGTAGCACTATTTGGGAAACAGCAGCCGTCTCATGGCGCATCAGGACGCGGAGGGTTTACTGGGAGTGGGTGGAGCTACCATAGAACGAGGTATTGAAAGTCAGCAGCACGGAGGAACTGCAGGCCACCATGTTAAGTGAAGTAAGCTAAGCCGAGGAAAGCGAATACGGCATGTTCTCACTCACACAGGGGAGCTAAAAGGTGGATCTCATGGAGGGGGAGAGTAGATTGTGGGTACCAGAGACTGGGAAGGGGAAGGGAGTCGGGGGATGAAAAGAGGGTGACTGATGTGTACAAATATATGGTTTAATGGGAGAAATAAGCCCCAGTGTTAGAGCAGCAGGTGACTGTAGCTCACAGTAATCTACTGTACATTTCCAAACAGCCAGAAGAGAATAACCCCAATGTCTTCAGCATCAAGAAAAGACCAGTATTGAAGGTGATGGATGCCTTAATTATGCTGATTGGATCTTTACAAATTATATGAATGTATTAAATTCTGACGTGTACCCAGAAACTATGTACATCTATTATGCGCCAATAAAAATGAATTTTTTTTTAAAGTGAGCAAAGGCCCCTTTGCCTTGGATCTCAAGTCTGAAAAACAGGCCCTGATGCCTTTAGGAAACCCCAAAAGGAACAGGGACCTTCTGTGGGAAGCTGAGCCAGTGAAAAAACACCCCGGACCTCAAAATTGGGCAAACGGGGGTGTGTTTCCCAGGCCAAACTGTCGTCTTTACCTAGAAATTGGGCCACACCTGTGGTGCTGAATGGCTGTACCTTGGGCTTCAGGTTCCCAGATCCCACACTCCTTCCACAGCCTATGAAAACCCCACAGCATCCCCAGGGATCCTCTGCAGGCCTCGGACAAAGCTCAGCCTCCCACTGGACATTATTCTTGATCTCGACCCTGCTGCTGCCCTGGGCCCAGCTGTGGGTTTGAGGTTTCCTAGTGGCCCCCGGAGAGCGGTCCCTGTATTGCCTGAAAGGGACCCCCTCACTGGATGCCCTATAGGCCTGCAGGTCCATGCATCAGGCCTGGCCCTGGCTCTGCTGGTCCTGGGCTCAACCCTGAGGATTAACTGGACTGGCCTTGGGTGCCCGCGTGCCACCTTGCCCACCCATGCTTCATACATGTCACAAGCTTCACCCTCTCTTGGAACAAACCAGCTCATCATCCCCTGGCCCCTGGCTGTCGTGAACGCTGTCTCCACCTGGGGATGTGCCAGCCTCGGTTTCCTTCTCTGTACAGTAGGAGCCAAAAGCATTTTGCTGACCTTGAAGCAGATCGACCCTGCAACAAGATGCGGAAGAGGCACCAAAGGAGCCTTGTAGCCAGCGTTGCCAGGCCGATGCAGCTTGCTGATGCAGCCGACTCCGCAGAGGTGCAGGAGCTGAGGACCCACGCAGGGGTGCAGGAGGTGAAGACCCACACAAGGGTGCCATCGAAGGCCATGGGAGGGACAGCTCCACGGACAGAGGCAAGACCCACCCCACCCTGACTATGAGGGGACAAGTCCATGGCTAAGGATCTTGGGAGCCATTCTCTCTGCTACACGCCATGCAAGCAGAGGTGCCCTCTGGCAACCAGGTGCCGCTCTGGGTACAGCCGATGTAAACACGAGACAAAGAGTCAGCCAGACAGGAGCATCGGTCCAGGGACAGAGATGGGGGGCAGTGTCAGACAGGTGGGCCAGGCACATGTCCCCAGCAGGACCCTGCAGGGGGGAGCAAGGCTGGGGGAGGGATGGGGCACTGAGCAGCCGGCGTCAGAACAATCAGGAAACCTCCCAGGCGGGCATTTCAAGCGCAGGCCCTGGCCAGCGGCGAGAGGGAGCCTGCGGGAAGAATGAGACCTGGGAGGGGCTGTGCCTGCCAGCTCCTTGTCCTGTGGTACCTTTGTCCGGCTTTGGCACCTAAGGACCACTGGACTCAAAAGGCGCTGAGAAGCATTTTCTCCTCCCATCTTTTGGAGGTGTTTGTGAAGGTCTGATATTAACTCCTCTTCAGATGTTTGGTAGAATTTGGCGGTGACGCTGTCTGCGGGGCAGATGCCTGTGAAAGGCGCCCTGGTGTGTTCAAGGCACAGTGATGAGGTCGGTGTCCCCCGGGACAGAGGAGGGAAGCGGGCGGCGGGCAGCAGGCCTTATGCAGGGCCCGGCAGAGTGAGGAGTGTGAAGAGTGCCACGCGGGGGAAGTGGCAGGGCCCGGCTGTGTAGCAAGGAAGCCCTCTGGCCCCTGCCCCGTGGTGTAAAGGCACTCGCGGGAGAGGAACAGAAGCGAGAGGTCAGGTGCCCCCAGTACCATCCACTCTTACCTCATTGCACACATGAGCTCGTCAGGGTGGGCTCTAGGTCCCCCGGAGGAGTCCAGGGTCGAGTCCCGGAGTCAGCCCAAGGTCAACTTGGAGAAAGACCATGTGTCTAGCGCCTGCCTCCCTCCCTCCCAGTCTCCTACTCACCTGGCCTCCAGCGCCCACCCAGCACCCCTGGGGACCGTCCCTGTCCCCCGAGGGACTCCAGAGGGAGGGTGTTTTGTGCCGTGTGGAAAACAAGCCATGCTCTCTGCAAACCACGACAGCCCCTTCAAGCTGTCAGAGTCCCTACATGTGGAGTGAAAAGGGGGAAAGAACACAATTTACAATTGCAAATTGGAACCCCTCTCGGAGCGGAGCGATAATCCAGCTCTGGAGACAGATGGCGAGGAAGTGCTCCAGGAACCTGTTACAACACATCGCTGCCTAGCAGAGACGAGAGGCTCCAGGAAGGACCCGGTGCCTGCCATTCCAACCTCGAGGGGCTCCTGGAGGGACGCTGAGGACAAGGTGGCTGTCCCGTCACCTCGCTCTTGTCTCTGCCCCCACCTGTTTCCACTGTGCGGGCGCCCGGACACGAAGACCTAAAGCCACAGAACAGTGAACTCTATGCCGTGTAGCTGTTGGCAGGCAGGGCAGGGGGAGAGACTAGAGTCCCCCTCTCTGCTGCCTTTTAAATAAAAGACAAGGAGGACTGCGAGGAGGAGGTCAAAACTCTGCAGTCTATACCGTGGCACAGATCCCGACTCAGGGTGGGGACATGTGGAAGGGACAGAGGGAGAGGGAAAACACAAACAAAGAGGGAGGAGGAGGTCCCTCCACTTCATGCAATCGGGATCAGGTGTGCGGGAACCCTGGCGTGTCTGGCATCTGGCGTGGCAGGCTCCCATCCTAGGTTCCACCGGTGCCGCTGGCGAGGCCTCCCTCTCCCCAAATGCTGCTCTTTTCAAGGGAGAACATCAGGCATCATTCCAAAGATAGGGTAGACGCTGAATGAAGGAATATTTTTAAACGCCCATGTTGTCATTCCTTCTTCCGGAAGTTCATTCATTTATGTGGTGATCTGAGAGCCTGTCACTCACTGAGGCCAGAGTGGACCCTGGGAGGCAGGCAGCGGTTCAGGGACCAGGCCCGGAGGTGCGCGGATAGACGGGGTCTGACAAAGGCCAGGACACAGTGCTCTGGGTCTAGGCTGGGGACAGGGGTGGCGGGGCAGCGGAGGACAAGGAGACAGCCAGGCAGACCCCAAAGCCTGGACCGGGCTGGTCTCGGGGAAGTGCGGGTGTGGAGGGAAAGAATGTTCCCTGCAAACGGAACATAGGATTGGCAGCACTGGCTGCAGCCATGGGACAGCTCATGGCTCAGCCAGGCTGCAGGGATTCCAGAAGATTCCATGGCTCAATCCTTACTGCAGACTGGAAATCTTCAATGAGCTGCTAACAAAAAGTGTCGGCAAACAAATCAATCAAAACCAAAACACACGTGTGTAGATGCAACGGGGCAGGGCAAGGGATGTTGAGCTGGTGGCAAATGAAGAAAGGAGAGGGAGGGGCACGGGGCTCCTGAGCCCGGGCCGGCCCGTTCCCACTGGGCTTCAAGGCTGTGGGAGCATTGGTGTCCTGGCCTGGAATCGGTGAGCACAAAAGCACCGAAGACCTGAAAGGTTCTCAGGATCAAAGGCCCCTTTGTGAACGGTTCAATATTTTCAGCATAAATCCAATAAACGTCAGAGTTTTGTTTGTTTGTTTTAAGGCACCACCTGTTTCTCCCTATGGAAAAACAAAATGATAACTACTGCTAAAAAATGAAAATTTAAAAACCCCTAAAAGATGATCTGAGGTGCACGTGAAGCTGTTCTGGGCCAGCTTGAATGTGAACAGAGCCAGCCACTTCGCCATGCAGGGAAGGCCTTGGAAAGGAAAAGCAAAGCCCAGGCTGCCCGGTGGCTACAGCTCTGGGCAGCGTGTCCCTCACCCTCCTCTCCCACCACTGACTGCCTCGGAGGGAAGACCTCAACGCTTCCCAGAGGCTGAGCCCGAGAGACCCCAGTGCTGAGGGCAGAGCAGCCCACTGGACCTCACCCCTTGGCACCCCTGCCCTCAGGGCACAGCAGTGATTTGAGGCCATGGCTGCCTCAGGGCCCTAGAGGAAGTCACATCTGGTCACTGAACAGACAGGACAGGCGTCGGGACAGTGCTGTGTTTGACACTCACTCACTAATTTATTCATGTATTCACTTGTGGGTTGTGAAATTAACTTCACAAATATTTACAGAGAGCTTTCCAGGGTTCTTCAAAGGGAAGAAATAAAGACGTTAGCAGAGTTCCTGTTTAAGCTTCTCTCTTATTGCATCCTGGCATCACGTGGGGCCTAAGGGTGACTTGGCAAAGCGAGCTCCCACTTCCTCCAACCAAAAAACACCAGCAGGCAGGATCCCGCGGCCAAGACGGTGAGTCCCGCTCCACTCTGGCGAATCTTGAAAAGTCCCTTCGTCTCTGTTGGTTTCCTGAAGCCACAAACTGGGCAGCTTCAACAACAGAAACTTATTCTCCCCCCGTCCTGGAGCCCAGTACTCCACGATCAAGGTGTGGACTGGGCTAGTTCTTTCTGAGGCCTCTCTCCTTGACTCCCAGAAGGCCTTATTCACTGTCACATGGCCTCTGTGTGTGCCTGTGTGTGTCTGGGTCCAAACCTCCCCTTCTTAGAAGGATACCAGTCCTACGGGATTAGGGGCCACCTGAATGACTTCATTTTAACTTAATTTTGTCAAGACCCTGTCCCCCAATAAGGTCGCACTCACAGGTTCTGGGGGTAAGGATTTCAGCATGTGGATTTGGTAAGGGGGTACCCAGTTCAGCCCATAACAATCTCTGAGCCTTCATCTTCTCATTAAAAAAAAAAAAAAAAAAAAAAGGCTGGGCACAGTGGCTCATGCCCATAATCTCAGCATTTTGGAAGGCTGAGGTGGGCGGATCATTTGAGGTCAGGAGTTCAAGACTAGCCTGGCCAACACCCTGAAACCCTGTCTCTACTAAAAATACAAAAAAAAAAAAAAAAGCAGGGCATGGTGGCATATGACTGTAGTCCCAGCTACCCGGGAGGTTGTGGTGAGCTGAGATCGAGCCACTGCACTCCAGCCTCGGTGACAGAGCGAGACTCCATCTCAAAAAAAGAGAGAGACAGACAGACAGGCCAGGCGTGTTGGCTCACGCCTGTAATCCCAGCACTTTAGGAGGCTGAGGCAGGCCGATCACTTGAGCCCAGGAGTTTGAGACCAACCTGGGCAACGTGGTGAAACCTTGTCTCTACAAAAAACATACATAAATTAGCCAGGCGTGGCGGCTCATGCCTGTAGTCCTAGCTGCTCGGGAGGCTGAGGTGAGAGGATCACTTGAGCCCCAGAGGTGGAGGCTGCAGTGAGCTGAGATAGTGCCACTGCACTCCAGGCTGGGTGATAGCAAGACCCTGCCTCAAAAAAAAAAAAAAAAAAGAGAGACCACCTGCCCCAACTCTCTCCCAGAGCAGACCCACTATATTGGGCCTAAAGGGTGCCCTGTGAGCTTCAGAGGGCTATGCTGTAGGCGCCACCCACTTTCCTCTCCAACTACAGGCAGCAAGAGAGACAGGGACTCTCATCTCCCAGTGCCCCTCAGAAAATCAGAGCTCCTGGGCAGGACATTGGCATGCGGTCCGCTGGCTCCTTTAAGAAATGCCAAATGTCCTCAGAGACCCGCACAAAACGTCAGTACTCTCTCCGCAGACCAATCCATTTCCCCCACTAAGTAGCATCTGATGGCGTTAGATGCTAAGACTCTCTTCAGAAGTAAAAAAATAAAAATAAAAATAAAAAGGCAGTCCCTTAGTGGGAGGGTTTTTGGCATTTCATCTGAATTCCATAATGAATAATTTATATGAAAGTTTTACTGGAGCCCAGCGTTCCACAATAAACGTTCCCTGAGAACACACGTAAATGCTTCAGCAGCCATCTCTCTCTCTCTCTGCCGGATCGGGCTGACGGCCCAAATCAGATCTGAGTTACTGCATCACTTATTTACAAAAAATAACATAATCTTACTTTTATGTGCATTTTTCCCGGCATCCGTGGGTGACAAGTTTGAGAGGCACGGGCAGCAGTGGTCGCTGCATCTGTTGGATCCAGGAGGGAAGGGAGGTTCTGAGCTTTGGAGCGGGAAGTGAGGAGCCTCAGCTGTCTGCACCCTTTTGCTTGCAACACAACAATTAGGAGAGGGACTAGGAGGAGAGGAGCCACCTGGTTTCTGGGGCATAGAAGCCCTACGCAGCCACGTGTCCCAGGCAGAGCGAGGTGGGGAGGGGGCCGGGGGAGATCCCAGTTATTCAGCTTCAGGAGGGGGGTCCAGAGTGCAGCTTGGGGACAGGAAGACCCAGCTCGAACCCTCCTCCCAGCCAGGTTACGTGGCTTCTCTGAGTCCTTGTCCTTATTTGGATAATGGGAAAAAAAGAACCCACCTTTCAGGACAGTCCTGGGAACGTGCTGACCTGTTGTGGGCAGCGTGGCCATCACGTCAACCTTCACATCCAACAAATACTTGCAGAACTGACAGGCACATGGCATGAGCACGCCGCTAACCAGGACTCTGTTGTTTCTGATATTACTGTTTCCATGGTGCCAGGGAGAGGGCTCCAGCCCAGCTGCAGCGTCCAGGGGCACAGCCTCCACCTCCTGCACTCGCTGCCCAGGGGTTCACGTGTCCTCCACTTAATGTCTTCTTGATATTTTACACACTTTCTCCTTTGTGAATTCATCTCTTTCCACGGAGGAATTGCCTGTGTGTGCCCAGTGCGAGTTTGAAGGCATCCGTCATGCCGCATCCTCCTGTGGGTTTCTCAGTCAGCCACTCTAGGCAGGTCCTGAGGGAGGGGATGGAGGAGACCCCAGACCCTGGCGCTGCCCTTCCTGTCCCGGCCAGGTGGATGTCCTTGTTTAGGGATGCCAGGGACATGGCCTGCACCAGGGACACAGTTGTCAGCCCCGGCTCTGTTGCTGACCAGCTGTTTGACTTGGAGCAAGTTTCTTAACCTCTCTAGGCCTGTTTCCTTATCTCTAAACTGAAGTGACCGTAATCCCCTCCCCAGGGGAAGTCGGGAGGCTCCGGGACGGGACTGTGCACGCGCAGCCTTCACATCGTGCTGAGGCAGCACCAAGCGTGCAACCGAGAAATGCCAGTTGTCTTGTGCAGCAAGCTCAGTTTGCAGAAGCAGGAAGGGAGCCCGGGCTGGGAACTGCCCGTTGCCCACAGTGAGGTGCTGGAGGACCCAGGACAAGGCCTGGCTCTCCACCTGCTGCACCGTCCACCTCTGCCTGATTGACAGCTTCACCAGCCATTCCGTTTGCCTTCTCCACTCCCTCCTTCCCTATAGGAACCAGTTTTGGGTTTGGCACCCAAAACCACAAGGATTGGCCCCTTCTCCGCACTGCCCGTGGACTTCGGAGGCTAAGTGCACAATTAGCCAATCACAGTACGTCATCCTCCTTGCCAGGGATTATTTCAGCCAATCAGCACACAGACTCCCTCAGGGGACTCTAATAGGTCCAGGAGCAGGCACATGACCTAGGCCGGCCAATCAGAGAGGTGAGAAGGACTTTCCCTCCACCTGTCCTTCTCCCACCAGGTGTGAATGAGCAAGCTCCCCTCATTGCAGCAGGCAGGTGGCCATCCTAAAGGGTGAGGGGCGCTGCCTGAGGACAAGGGGAGGCAGGGTGGAGGGAAGGGAGATACAGCCTTGATCACATGGTGCCTGCAGCCCACCTTGCCTCAGAACCTGTGCTCACATGAGATAACAGATCTCTGTGGTTAAGCTATTTCACGTTGGACCTTCTGCTACCAGCTCCTGAGAAAGGCCCCCACATGTAAAGTTAGAGGGTCTCCACTGTGGCCAGACCTCTATGGCCCCTTCATACGTCCAACCCTGGGAGAAATTCAAGTCCATGGAAGACCACACAACAGGATAAGGAAGTAAAAAGTTAATGACTAAATTAAGGTTATCACCAGAAGTTTACTCTAAGCTTCCTGAGAAGGGTCACCTCTGTTTTTGAAGACCCGCAGAAAGTACTGTCAAATTCCATTCAAAAAAAGCCCTCGGTGTCCTGGAATGGCCCCTGAAAAGAGCCTCCTGGAGCTTCCTATCGCAGCATGACACCTGCCCACCAACAGGGCAGGACAGTGGTGTGGCCAAGAGGCCCACTGACCAGGGTTCGAGTGGCGATTTTACTACTAACTGGCTCCGTGGCCTTTGCAACACTCAGGGACCTCATGTGGAAAATGGTGTCCTAATATCACCAGCTTATGCAAATCAATGTGACGAATCTACAGATAAGAAAAATGAAGTTCTTAGCACTGCGTCCGGCATGTTGGGAGTGCTCAGTAAATGTTAGTGTTATTTTCTTGACATTTTCACCCTGATTAAATGATTAGGCAGAGACTAATGCTTCTGGCCAAGTGGAGTAACAGAGATTGGACGTACCCTCCCAACCAAACCACCAAAACAACATGAAAAAATGTATGAAGCAACGGTTTTCAGGCCATGAGACACCAGGCAGCAAAGGACAGATATTCCTGAAAGGAGAAAAACTAACAAGGAGAGCCCTAAGATTGCCCAGGCTTCTCCTGTCGGGTGAGTTTCCAGGCTGTGGTGCAGAGATGGGGAACCCAGGTTGAGACCAATGGACTCCCTGAGTGGAGGAGACAGAGCCGAGTCCAGGGAAGCCAAGGCAGGAAGGTTCGCAGGACATAACAGGAGAGAGCTACGCAGAGAGCTCTGGAGATGTGCAGAGGGTCCCCTCCAGGCACTCAGCAAAGCAACAATCAATGCATGTAGGCAAGGAAATGACTCAAGGCTGGGCAAAGCAGCACCCAAAAAGATTGGAGGAAGCAGCTCCCCGTGCTCACACAGGGGTGGGGGTTGCTACTGCTCCTACCAACCACAGAGGAAAATCTTCGAATTCATATGGCATGGGTAGACTACTCAGAAGGGTCTTGCCTCCTTCATAGGAAATAATTATCCCTAGACTAAACACTGATTTGAAATTTTTAAAAGCAAGCTCTGAATAGATCGAAATGTTCCCAAGGAACTTAACTGCATTGCTGAACAAAGCTCAAGAATACTTTAGAAATGATCACAACAACAACAAAAATCTAGCAACCAACAATACAAAATGTCAGTGTCAGCTGGGCACGGTGGCTCACGCCTGCAATCCCAGCATTTTGGGAGGCCAAGGCGGGCGGATCACTTAAGGCCAGGAGTTTGAGACCAGCCTGGCCAATGTGGTGAAACCCCATCTCTACTAAAAATACAAAAGTTAGCCAGACCTGGTCGCACACGCCTGTAATCCCAGCTACTCAGGAGGCTGAGGCAGGAGAATCACTTGAACCTGGGAGGTGGAGGCTGCAGTGAACTGAGATTGTGCCACTGCACTCCAGCCTGGGCCACAGAGCAAGACTCCATCTCAAAAAATAAATAGATAAATAAAATGTCAATGATATCCAATCAAACAGTCTACGCATGCAAAGAAGCATGAAAACATGACCCATGGCAAGAAGAAAGATCAATCAAAACTGACTCAGAACTGATATAGATGCTAGAATTGGCAGACAAGAACATTTAACAAGTTATTACAACTTTGGCCAGGCGGGGTGGCTCACGCCTGTAATCCCAGCATTTTGGGAGGCTGAGGCGGGTGGATCACCTGAGATCAGGAGTTCAAGACCAGCCTGACCAACACGGAGAAACCCCGTCTCTATTAAAAATACAAAATTAGCTAGGCATGGTGGCGCATGCCTGTAATCCCAGCTACTTGGGAGGCTGAGGCAGGAGAATTGCTTGAACCTGGGAGGTGGAGGTTGCAGTGAGCTGAGATTGCACCACTGCACTCTAGCCTGGGCAAGAGAGCAAGACTCTGTTTCAATAAAAATAAATAAATAAAAAGAAAGGAAAAAATAAAAGAAAAATGCATTGGATAGAATTAATAGCAGGTTAGACATTGCAGAATAAAAGATTGCTGAACATAAGGACATAGCAATACAAAGTATCCAAAACAAAACACAAAGAGAAAAAAAATAATTTTAAAAAACTAACAGAGAATTAGTGAGTTTGGGAATGTCAAGCAGCCTAAGATACGTGTAATTGGAATCTCCAAAGGAGGAGAGGGAGAGCAGAAATACTATTTGAAGAAATAATGGCTGAAAATGTTTCAAATTTGACAGAAACCAGAAACTCACCAATTCAAGAAGCTCAATGAACCTCAAACACAAGAAACATAAAAGCACATCCCAATCAAACTGCTTAACCCCAGTGAGAAGGAGAATATCCTGAAAGCAGCCTGAGGAAACAGGTATGTTGCATACAGAGAAACAAAGATTAAAATGACAGCAGATTTCTTAAGGGAAATGATTCAAGCAAGAAGACAGTGGGTCTATATATACTATATATAGTATGTGCCACTATACTCGAGACTGGGCAACAGAGTGAGAAGTGAGACTCCGTCTCAAAAACAAAACAAAAAACAAAAACTGCCAACCTACAATTCCGTACGGTGAAATTATCTTCTTTTTTTTTTTTTTTTCAGACAGGGTCAGGCCAGAGTGCAGTTGCACGATCTCAGCTCACTGCAACCTCCATCTCCCAGGTTCAAACGATTCTCCCACTTCAGCCTCCGGAGTAGCTTGGATTACAAGAGTGCACCACCATGCCTGGCTGATTTGTTGTATTTTTGGTAGAGATGGGGTTTCATGTTGGCCAGGCTGGTCTGGAACTCCTGGACTCAAGTGATCCATCCGCCTTGGCCTCCCAAAGTGCTGGGATTACAGGTGTGAGCCACCGCACCTGGCCCAGTGAAGTTATCTTTAAAAACATAAAGGGAAGGATTCCAACTTCAGATGTGACAAAGTAAGCACATTCCACCCAGTCTTTCCCTCTGGACACAACTGTGACACCTGAACATATGCATGGACCAGTTATTGGAGGACTCTGAAAAGTAAACTGCAGCAGGCAGACTGAGAAAGAAAACCAGATGTCAAAGTACCACCAAACTGGTGGTGATTTACCATGTTCTTCTCCAGGATCACCTGGCCTGACTACAACACAGTTTGAAAAACAAAGGTAGGTGCTGGCACAGAGAAAGCTCCAGGGCAAGCCCTATCATTCTGGTTCAAGAGACATGAACGAGGCCTCCCAATGCTCAGGGAAAACATGGAAGTTCCACATTTTTCCTACACTCACACTCCAGCCCCCAATAAATCCTGTGTCAGTGTTGGCAGAGACCCCAACAGGAACCCACAAGAGCTGAAACACTGAGGGAGCAGAGCTTTCTCCCTGATGAGTGGATCTGCAATCCCAAGAGAGCACAGCAAACCCCATTGCTCTTTTCCCTTTTTCTGTTCTCCACCGTTTGACACTCACAGAGGTGCATGTCACACCAGGGTCACTAGAGCCCTAGGTTTTGGGTCAAAGGACCAAATGGGCCAAAGTGTATCAGGACGATTGCAGAAATGGAGAAGCTTTGGAAAGCAACCACCTAACATTATATATAAATTCCTGGTCCCACCATCACCCTGAAAGCTGCACGTGGCATGAATCTGATCCTAGATAGCATGGCAAAGACTTCAAGAACTGAACCACCTTTCGGTTCAAAGGCCCATTACTCGATGATGCACATGTGGGATGGACCTAAAAAGTGCTCCAAAGGCCCTGAAAACTGAGCTGCCCATGGAAGCACAACCCACAGAAGGTGGGCAGAAACATGCGGCTGGAACTCAGCTACGTTTGCTGCTTAAACAAAAATCACAACGTTTTCCAAAAGATTTAATGAAAGCTCTGAATCCCGTAACAGAATGTTTAAAATGTCCAGGATACAATCCAAAATTACACGGCATACAAAGAACCAGGAAAATCTCAATTCACACGAACAAAGCCAACCACTGCCAATGAAAGGATAACCTGAGTCTCAGGATTCTCTGACAAAGACTTTAAAGCCGCTGTTACAAAAATGCTTCAGCCACAATGGCACACTCCCCTAACACAAAAGGAAAAACAGAAAGCCTTGGCAACACAGAGGAGATAAGGAAAACCCAAAGGGAAATTTTAGAACTGAAAAATACAGCAACTGAAAATTCGTTTTAAAAACTTACTGGATGAGCTGAAAGGAGATCAGAAATTATAAATGAAAGAGACAGTGAACTTGAAACTAGATTAATAGGAATTGTCAATTCTTAACAGAGTATAATCATGAAAAAGTAGAGATTCAGGAGCTCCTGGGATGATAAAGGGAAAAAGGCCAAACATTTGTGCCCTCTGGGGTTGCAGGACGGGAGGAGTAAGAACGCCGTGCTGAAGCAAAACTCCAGGAAGTAATGGTATTTGGTGAAGCTTCCTAAATTTGGTGGAAGACAAATCTACAGATTGAAGAAACTGAGAGCCCTGCAAACAGGACAAACACGAAGAAATGCAGCCCTCCAGCTGGGCACGGTGGCTCACGCCTGTAATCGCAGCACTTTGGGAGGCCAAGGCAGGTGGATCACCTGAGGTCAGGAGTTCGAGACCAGCCTGGCCAACATGGTGAAACCCCGTCTCTACTAAAAATACAAAAAAATAGCCGGGCGTGGTAGCATGTGCCTGTACTCCCAGCTACTCAGGAGGCTGAGGCAGAGAATCACTTGAACCTGGGAGGCAGAGGTTGAAGTGAGCCGAGATCGTGCCACTGCACTCCAGCCTGGGCAACACAGCGAGACTCTGTCTCAAAAAAAAAAAGAAGACAAAGAAAAAGAAAGAAAGAAATGCAGCTCTCCACTGATCTGGATAATCCCCTCTGGCACTTATGAGATGGAAAATGACAACCACATAACACAACACAACACATCAGCTCCCACGACAATTGATGTTGCAGAAGCAGCAGAAACAGTACATGGGCCCAAAAGGCAGGATGTGCAATGTGTCCCTTAGACCTTTTTTCTCCTTTTCTTTTCTTAATAGAGACAGACAGGGTTTTCCCCTGGCTATGTTGCCCAGGCTGGTCTCCAACTCCAAGCCTTAAGCAATCCTCCCACCTTGGCCTCCCAAAGTGCTGGGATTACAGGTGTGAGCCACTATGCCTGGCTTTTTTTTTTTTTTTTTTTTTCTTTACTGCAATTCTCTCTCAAACCCTATCAATTAAATTCAGCACTTCAAGAGTTACAGTTGGCCAGGCACGGTGGCTCATGCCTGTAATCCCAGCACTTTGGGAAGCTGAGATGGGAGAATCACTTGAGGTCAGGGGTTCGAGATCAGCCTGGCCAACATGGCAAAACCCCGTCTCTACTAAAAATGCAAAAAAAAATTAGCCAGGCATGGTCGTATGTGCCTGTAATCCCAGCTGCTCGTGAGGCTGAGGTGAATCACTTGAACCCAGGAGGCGGAGCTTGCAGTGAGCCAAGATCGTGCCACTGCACTTTAGCCTGGGCGACAGAGCAGGACTCCATCTCAAAAAATATATATATATAGTTATACTTGTAGTTTCCAGGAGACCATGTTACCTCCAGGCTGGGCAGAGGAGACGGAGAGGGGAATAGAGCAGCCATGAGGTATTTTCCTCTTTGGCGCCTCGTCCCAGGGTCTGCCTCCTCCCCCGTGCTCTTCGCAGAATCCACGGAGTGTCCTGGCTCAGACTTTTTCCTGCCCCTCACATGCCACCACAGCTTCAGCTGACATTCCGTGGCACCTTTAGCCACTCCCTGCAGGCAGCATCCCATTCCTCCATGGGACCACGCAGGAGGGGACTCCTGTGCCCACATCCAACAGAACTGCAAACATCTGCATCCCTCTCCTCCCTGAAGTTCCCCAGGATATCTGAATGAGTGTGTAGGGCCTTTGGTTACCCCTTGGGAACAGAGACCTTGACCGCCTCCCTAACCCTCACAGTATCTGAGGCTAGGCTGGAGGGGCATCAGTGAATCGGGGAGACGCAGAGAAAACATCTCCGTGCCATTGTGCAAGACCGACTGACCTTCAGGTTTGAGCAGCATGGCAGATGCCTGCGGCTCAACCACGGACGTCTGTGGCCCAGCGTTTGGCCCCACACAGTTTTAGGAAACACTTAACCCTTTCTCCTCCCACCTGGAGGAGAAAGCAACCAATAAACGAACTTCTGATTTTTTCAGGCTCATCCCAAGCCCAGTATCAGCTGTGGGGACTCCAAGACCTTTTCTCCCCCAACCGGAGAAGAAAACAAACTCCAAATATGCCATTTAGGCTTCGTGT